TAACTGGGGAAGTCTGCTTCTACATTCTGTATAACAAAGTGTGTACCGAAGGGTTAGGCAGGATAGTGCGGGGAATGCAGCACTGACCAACACTCTATTTAATCAAAGATCCTCTTGGCTCTCTTTGAACATTTGACGCTGTGGTGATAGAGACGTGCGATCGGCCTGGGCCAATGGTACGAGCCCAACTCTTCTCTCTCGGGTCTAATTTATTGATGCGCCAGGACCGTGCGGGCTTTACTATACGCGCATGTGCTCATGAAAGCTTTGATTTATGTTATTTTAGCCCACGTCTCAGCATGTCTCTCCCAGGGACTGAGCACCAACCATTTTTAACCCCCGTTCCTTCGGAGGGGAATCGCGGCTCGGCCTCCTAAATTTGGACTCTATTAATCCTCGGCGCTCGAACGTCTTACGGCGGGCGGCCGACGCTAAGCTGCTAATGCACGCCGTCCCCTGATTTGGGCTGCTGTGACCATGACACAAGCGAACAGGAACCTACGCCGGCGCGTTGAGTTCAGAAAGCGTCTCGGTACCTGGAGGTGAGTCTTGTGCTGCTGTCGCGCTGAGAGGGTTAAAGCAAGATGGCCGACAATGAGATGTGCCGAACAAAACTTGGAAACTATGTAAGACTTTTGGAGTGTGCACATCGTCGTCCTCGTGGAAGCAGATATCCAGCTGTGTGTGTGTGTGTGTTTGTGCATGCACCAGAGAGACCGTCTCTACCACCCTCCTCTACCCCCCCCCCCCCCCCCCTCCTCCTCCTCCTCGAATATCACTGGGTAACCTGAGACACAAACACATGGTAGATCAAGAGGTGCAGAGCCTCCAGTTACATCACCATCCAACTAATGAACTGCACTGCTGAAAACAGCTACAAAGAATACAGTTTAGATGAGATTCGAAGTCCTTCCGTGCTTCAGTTAGAGTACAAAGTACGTGCGCGCTCGCAACTCCAAGGCAAGTGCATGAATGTTGCAATTGTGTCAATAGGAATGAGCGGTACGGTGATGCTAAAGCGTTGAGCAGAAACTAAAATCCATACACTTCTTTAACGCACCGTAGCCTCAAATTGATTTTCACTGGGGATTTCGCACCTGATCGAGACAAAAAAGAGGAACTTAATCCGTTTAATCTGCAGTTTCTTAGTGTTCGAACGGCGCGTCAGCTCTCGCGCAACGTTCGGCTTTTCTACATCTAATTGTGAAAGCAAATACTGTCAACGAAATGTGTCCCGTCAGTGTCTTCGGTGTCCGCTTTCCCACAGCATCCACCTATGGATGTGTGTTTACACACAACTCACTAATGCAGTGGTTGGACCAGAAAGATCAGCTGAGAACTCAAACACACACACACATGCTGGAATACAGAATTGTAAAAGGCTTCTGTCCACAGCAATGGCACGTTCTGTATCGGTCAAGTCTGATCCATCTCCAGGAGATTGTTGTATCCTTCTAATTGAAATAGAGGTTTAGGACAGAAGAGGCAGAAACTGAGGATTTTGAGTGGGGGTGAGCATAAGTTGAAGGCTCTATGTTGAGATGCCATCCACCACAACCCTCCGTCCTCCCGTCTTCTCCCCATTTCTCCCCCCACATCAGCACCTGGCTGCACTGCCTCCTCTCCACCTCCTTCTTCTCTTCCTACACCCAACCGACGGCATACACCACCCTGCTCTTTACCAATGACGTTAAGCCTCTTGTCCTTTTGCCCCCCTCCCCCCTCATCCTCCCCTCTCCTCGCGTGGAAAGAGGATAAATCATTTGTTAGACGAGGGAAAAAAATAAAATAGAAGCAGGCATCTCCCCTACCTTGCCGTCAAGTGAAGAGGAGAGCCTCTCTCCTCCAGGAGGGATTGGAAGCGGGAGTGCACACACACACACACACACACACACACACTCACACACTCACACTCACATACACTATTAGACACTCACATTCGCACACGTACACACACACGCGCGGACGTAGACGCTCTCCCACTCTCTCCCCCCATGCAACGACGAGGAGTGCTCACTGCGCCTGGGAGAGCCCGACGCGTTCCTCCCCCCGGGCAGAAGCACACGCTGGCATCTCAGAGGCTCTTTGTTGAGGCCGATTCCTCCGCGGCTCCGTGTCCGTGTACCCGCGCCTGCTCCCGGGGACACCGGGTGGCCGTGCGAAGGAGGCGCGACGCCATGAAGGGCAAAGGCAGCATCCAGGAGGAGAGACTATCGCGGCCCCATACAGCTCCTTCCATCACCCCTTCCTCCTCCCAACCTCCCCCTTTTTCCCTCTCCGTCTCTGGCTCGCCGTCGCTCTGTTTCTCTCTCTCTCTCACACACACACACACACACACAAACACACTCCCTCCCTCCTCCCTCTCTGTCTCTGTTTATCACTTCCCTCCTTCTCTTCCTCCTCCCACTCCCTCATTGGTCTGCAAAACAACTGAAAACAGCACGTGTGTGTGTGTGTGTGTGTGTGTGTGTGTGTGTGTGTTTGTAGCTGGTTTCCAGTGACTGTAAAAAGAGGAGAGCTCTGCTACACCTCATCACCTGGGGTACCTCCACCCCCCCCCCTCCCCCCCACCCTTTCTCGCCTTCCATCGCTCGCTGTCTCCTTTGCACACGAGGGTGCCGCTGGTGTTCAGTCGGACGCCATCGTCCGTTGAATGACAGGGTCAGGGACGGCAGATGGCGGGAGGGGTTTGTTGTGTTCGTGTACGTTAAGTAGGAGGGAAGAGGGGGGGGGGGGGGGGGGGTGAGGGGTCAATTGTGACCAAAAAAATCATTATGTATGAAGAAACTGAAGTTACAGCACCAACCCCGTTCTAGCAGCTTCATTATTTGACTGAAGCACCCCCACCCCCCCCCTCACCCACTGCCCCCTCCTGTGTCTTTTCAACAGAATCGTTTCCTGAATTATTTATACAAGCAGACACAAAGCAGGAAAATGTATTAGGGTCAAGTCGTGCAGAACTTGCTTGCAGAGTGAGCCGTATTTAGGGCATACATTTTACACGGAGGCACTAACGGCTTAAATGATGATCGTCCTCACACATCAATGAAACTCAAGTGAAAAAGAAGCAATCTGCATGACAAAGGCAGATTTGCCTGTTTGGGTAGTAGACACGACCCGTCTCTTTCATTCCTACTTCTCAGCATTATTAAGATATTTCTGTGCTCAGCTATATATGTCATGTTTTACTTTTTTTCCTGATCTTTCAAGATCAATGGCGCAAGATTTCAGTTAGATTATAATGTATTCATCGGCTTTCGTGTGTGTCCTGAAAACATTGATCCCCGCATTTTGATGAAAAGTGGGAAAGCAGCTTGTGATGTAAAAAAGGGGCTTAGAGGGACAAGAGCCGTCTGAAACCACATTGTCATTAAAATGAAAGCCCGTGTTCGCTGCCTTAATTGTTTGCATTTTAATGTGTTCTATTGTTTAGGATGAATATGTAAGGATTACGCCAGGGGTTATCAGGGTTCACACACAGTCAACACCCATTGACATTCTCAGATGATCTATAAAGCCATTTTAATTCTGTAAGAATGAGGCGACTGCATCAGTCATCAAGTCAACGCTCGTGTCCCTTTTCCTCACCAACAACAAGCTGTTCCTGGGAGACTAAATGTGCTCATCGCACCATAAGTCATAATTATGACCAAAAGAATTATGACTCAACAGGTTCTGAGGTTTAACATTTTTTGAAATAATAGCTCAGCGTTATAGGAAGCCGTTTAAGAATCATGGGCTAATACTTTCATCATTTGTCGTTTCCTGGCTTGAACGGGCCTCCGGGTTCTTTTTTTTTTCCTTCAATAAATTGGTTGGATGATTTCCTGCTCCCCTCCCAATGCCCGGGGAGAGCCAAGTGCAGTTCATCCTGATGCAAAGTGCCCACTCACCTCGAAGCGAGGTGCCGCGGAGGCTCAGGCCGACCACTTCCTGTGAACTGGTGCGTGCAGGAACGACCCCGGACAAATAGGTTAAGAGCTTCAGCCTGCAGAATACGGCGCGCGCAGCGCGTACGGGCCGCGAGTGTTCTTCTCTGTCAAAGCAACAAACGGCGGACAAAAGCTGTGCTGCGAGGGCACGTCCGAAGCGCATTAAAGGTGGCTCGCTTGTACCATCTGCCCACTGCAGAACAGGGAGAGCTATGGATTTTCCGTTTGAGGCGCCATCGGAGCCCACTGGCTCCTCGCTTTTCACGAGATGAGCTCTTAATAATTCCTGCCAAATAGCGAACCACAGAGGATGCATTACGATGCGGTTACGCGGTGTTATTACGATGGGAGTGCATCATGTTGTGCATCATCCATCACCGAATTTCAGCTGCTCTGAGTGCTAAGCCGACATTTAAAGCAGACAGTTTGGGGAACTCACCAGTCGAGAGGATCTTGGCGGCCAGTGTCATATTTCCAGAATGAGATTAGAGTCTGTTTCCCCCCCCCCCAACTAGTGCTCCGCGAGCATGTAAGAGCAGCAGCACTCTGTTCCACAGTGCGTCAGGCTAGTGACCTCCTGGGGATAACCGAGGCCTCCTCTGCCCACAACTGCAACGGCTGGATTTCACTTGCTAATGAGCCAACCAGCTATCTATCTATCAGCCATTGGTCTCAGGCCGCTGTGTGAGGAGTACGTCCCATCAGGAGAACTCCCGCCCTGTTTAGTCACCGGGCTTCTGGGTGACCTCGCCTGAATAACCATCAACATTCGGCCTTAAAAAAAAAAAACATAAGGACGCCCTGCAGTGAAGACGTCAAATTAAGTCACTTCATTAGAATAAGTAGCAAATAAACTATTTTAATTCGGGTTATTTTGTTTTATTCATGCTCACTAGTGCTGACGGTTTAAACTGCCGCAACAGATTAAAGTCAGCATTAAATTGTTTTCACCCCATTAGTTCTCCAAATACCGTTCTCATGCAGACAATTTATGAGCTCCCTCGCCCGTCTCCTGCTGACGGTGCATTACCCCCCTCTGTCCAAAAGACAAACGAACTTTCCCAGTCGTCAGCCAGACATTTTAACAGGTTTATTGAACAGCGGTGATACATGGCCTGGAGGGGACGCTTCACCCAGACGGAGACGTTAAACCCAGACGGGATCACATCGCCGAAGCCGTCTGCGTTCAAAATGTAGTGAAACATCTTTTCAAGAAATACGAAACGAGACAGATCAACAAAAAAAAAAAAAAAAAGGCAGCATATACAAAGAAAAACACTGTTCTTAAGAACAAAGCAGTTAAGAAAAATGGACAAATGGAGTAACGGGGAAGTGCGTCTGTTACCGAGCTGTGGTGAACTAGTCGATTGAGTATTTACAAGTAGACGCATTACAAATCCAGTAGGGCCTCAAATATTACTGTGGAGTTTCTTCGACTTTCTTTTTTCTCTACCCAGGCCGTTATCAGTTTTGCAGTTCAGGGTGATTTGTAATGGATCACGTTACATTGAACAAGTGTTCCCATTATTTGGTTCCGCCGTCGTTCTAATGAATCCAACACCACTAAACTGCACCTTCGGTTTAAAGAGCTTCCAAAAAAAAGTTTTTCTTCATTTCTTTTTGACTTTTCTCTGGGCCCCACGCATATACAGTACTACGCACACGTTAGCTACATGATACTTGCAGGTGATATCCAAGGTACGGTAGAAAGTCTTTTTCGATGCATCAGTTTGAAGCGCTGACTCCCGTCGGGTCCTTTCGACCTCCTTCCTGGTTCATCTTTTTGAAGTAGCGTTCGGCGCGCAGTTCCTCAAAGCAGAACTCCGTGGCGCCGCCGAGCACCAGCTCTTTACAGTACATGCTCTGCTCCCGCGGTGTTCCTGATTCCGCTTCCTTCTGTTGCTGGTGGTGCTCCTGGAGTCTCTTTAGAGGAGTCTCCTCTCTGCAGGCTTTACGCGCTGATAACACCGTGTTCACCGCCGGGTTTATCTTACAAGGAGTCCTGAGGAGAGGAAGAGGAATTCAGCCAATTATGTTGTTTATTAAAAAACAAATGACAGCTTTCAAATGAACACAAATCACACGACATATTTTTGAAACACGTTGAAGAATTACCGCTACGTGACCTCATGAATCGGCATTTTGTTTCATTTAAACTGATCATTTTCAAAGTTTCCAGTAAGTACAAACAGAACATTGCGCTGTAGTACCTCTGGAGACATAGTCATGAAAATTGGGACAAAGTATGAAAACAACTTTGAAAGAAAAGAGCGAACAAAGAGCAGTGGCTCTGCCAATAAAAGCAAACCTGATACCGAAAGAAGATTTCACAGCAGGGCCGTTCGTTTTTTGTTGAACAGAAAATCATCAATAAAAGAGATTCTAACAGGATGTGCTTCACTTATTCATTCATTCCAGGAAGATGTTGCTTCTTATAATCAGGTCACCCAAATCCGCGAGTTAAATGTTCAGCAAAGTAACAGTGAAAAAACAAAGTGTCACTCACATTGTTGGAAGCTGGTCTGACTCCTCAACAAATGGTTGGAACGTGGGTTTGGGAGGCGGGGGGGCCATAACAGTGTGTCCAAATTTGGATTTCTGGGGGATCTGTGGTACAGACACATTAAATTAACATCACCGGGTTACACTTAACACATTTAAACCAACTAACGGAACATCCGCTTGTCTCATACCTTCACATCAACCCATTTTTCTGGATTTTGCTCGTTCTCCTTTGCCTTTGCAGGGGGAGGGGCCGCCCAAGCCTCCAACTTAGGCTCTGAAGGGCCAGCACTTTGAGTCTTGTTCTCGTCAAAGACCATCAAACGACTGTTTGCGGCGTTGCCGAGGACAGGGGCACCGAGCGACTGCACTCCTCCAGAGATACCTGTTCACAAAACAAATCCGGCATTAAAGCTGCAGTGTTGTCTTTTCAACAATATGAATATCGGCTGAATGTTTCACGACATGTTTCACATGTTTACTTCTAATTGACGACCCAACTCTGTTGACGGGGGCGACGGCTTTTTTCTTCCCTCTGCGTTTGAATTCGGCCAGAGAAACTCTCTCGGGTGCTTTCGGCTCATCGTCACCGCTGTCCTCCTCCACATTCATCATTACCTGTCGGGACACGCGCGCCTGCAAAGCCCTGCGAACACCGATACACAACACTGTGATTGGGCCCATACGATGCATTTTGAAAACTATGTCACATTTTCATTGCATGAAGTCTTACTTATGAAACTGCAGGAGCTTATCATGCGGCCCCGCAAACTTCTTGAACCCTTCCTGGTAGACCAGGTCTGCTTTGCGACAGTTGCCCTGATTTTCATACTCTTCAGACCAAGCGATGTACAGGGATGCCTGCGTCACTCCTATTCCCTGAGCCTGCATGTACCTGTAAATGTCCAAGGGCTCCGGGCAGTGCTCTGCCTGATGACACACAATACAGACGTATAGGAAACATGATAACTCCCGCAGTAGTTTATGAAAGTCATTAAACTAAAAGGTGAGGTTAATTATTAAAACGTACAAATTTTATCCAGAGTTCAACATAGCGAGGGTCCTCGTGATATTTCCTTTCCTCTGTGAATTTGGTCACGGCCCGCTCCAACAGCGTGGAGAGGTTGCTTTCTTTTCCCCCTTGAGGGAAGGTTTGCTCTGTCCACTCAATATACCTGCAATACACAGAACCACGTGAGGATCAAATATGAAACCGCTCACATACGGAACAAACACACTCCCTCCGTTTACAGGTTTGACTGACCGATCCCAAACATCTAGCGGATCCTCTCCGTCATACATCCGCAGCTCGGACTCAAAGCCCCTGGAGAAAGAAAAAACAGCCAGAAACCACCATTATCACCAGAATGGCTTTGCATCCGATCGGGGGGGACGTGTTTGGAATGAACTGTCCGTACTGTCTCTGGTGGTTGACGGCAGAGCTCAGTCCATCCTGCTGCTGGCTGAGCGCCTGGTGGAGGGCGGATATGGCTCTGCCCCGCCGCAGCGGCTGGATGTTTTCTTTGCTCAGCTCCCACTCCACGTCTCCCCCTTCTGCCATCGTGGAATTCAAAACAAGTGGATGCCTGCAGGCACACTCGGTATCAGTTACTCGACGGCTAAAATTTAAACACAAATAACCTACGCCGATGAAGCAATCAGGTTAGCAGAACACATCGTTTCCACCGACTCGAAATCGCAACCTCAAGATTTGCAGTTTTTAACGCCTGCTAAATGCACACACGTGCATCATAGCTGGTCGTTGTACTCAAATGGTAAACAGCTGCGAACGTGGATCGTTGACGTTTCTAGTGCCGTGGCTAAATTACTCATATCAGTGTTGTTCGTTTGTGACGTTAATGAGTGTGCGAGCTGCTGTCACGCTAACGTTAGCGTTAGCTGTCACGCTAACGTTAGCTATCTAGCTAGGCAACGTTAGCTTTGGCTTCTTCGTGTCATTTTTCGCGCTCTCTGCAAATTGTAACCCTCGCATACAAAGTCAGAAGGATCGATGTCTAAGATAGTGGCTCTTCATACCGATTAGAATGCCTCCTTTGTCTCTCTCCGGGTTGCAAACGTTACAGCTCGCGGTAAATCGTTGTTAACAGGAACAATGTCGAGTCGACTCAGCGTTTCAAACGAGGACCGCGAGACCATTTGGACAACGCTGATTGGTGGAGCCGGAAACCGGAAAACGCAAATCGACGTCACGCTACTTCTACCGGAATTGTTCCTGTTTTCATTTCATCAACATTGAAAGGTTGAGAACAGGTAGCTAGCTAGGAAATGACTATGAACACAGTGCGTTTTCTTAATATAGCCACCAGCTAGAGCAACATCTGCCAACTTTAAATTGCCTTTCTCTTGATTATCCCCGCGCGTCGCCATGGACAACCGTTGTTATTGCTGTGCATCAAAGTTCAGTCTATTTAAGAAGGAGGTAAGACTTTCCTGGTTTATATACTATATTTATAGCGTAGCAAATCAACACGTGTGTATAGATATGCATCTTAAAAATCGTACGCAAAGTAAACTGTGTTGTTTTGCGTTGCAATGTCCTCGCAGTTGGGCTGTAAGAGCTGCGGCCGCTCCTTCTGCTCCGGCTGTCTGACTCTCAGTGCTGTGGTGCCTCGCTGTGGCAACACACAGCAGAAGGTCTGTAAACAGTGCCACGGTAATCTGACAGGGTAAGACATCAAACCGTGCTGTCAACGGTAATATAGATTTGTAGTGGCAAACGCTGGTGCTCATTGTCAGTTGCTCATTTGCAGTGGGGAATCTCCAAACGATGCAGGGAAATGGTCTCCGCCCGAAAACTACAAGAAGTTAGTGTGTGATCGTATTTAGACGAGATGTCACTTTGTCAAACGGCAGTTTCGTCATGTTCAAACTAACACGAATATGCATCCACAGACGGGTTGCTGCGCTGGAGGCTAAACAGCAGGGACAGTCGACGCAGCCTTCAGCACAAGGAGGCAGTAGAAACAATAAAGCCTGCCAGCTACCAACTAAAGGCCTGAGTAAAGAAGATAGGGCCATCGCTGAAAGACTCCAAAAGCTGAAGGAGGATACGGCACCGAGTAATCAAAAATTGTTTATTTTAGCGGCTACCGCCTTTGCATGAATCTGGTACATAAGATACCTGATATCGTTTGTCTTGCCAAAAGCCACTGTAAGCGTTTTAATCTGCTTCAGAGTCCGTCCCGTCTGACAAGGAGCTGGAGTCTCGCCTTGCTGCTCTGAAAGCTCCCACCCGGCCAGTGCCTTCCGCAGAGGAGATGGAGAAACGCCTGGCAGTTCTACGGGGTGAGACTCCACCCTCTCAAGCACCTGTGAGTTCCAAACTCTTCTTATCACAGCTGAAATGACTTAATGCTGTTTAGATGGAGTTGGTTGCTGAAAAGTTTGCTATGACTGCTTACACTTATGTGCCTGTGTGCTCATCCATACAGGTGCATAAGCCCCCAGATAACAGGACTCAAACTGAGCAAGCCAATGATCTGATTACTCAGATGTCAGAGGAAGTTGCCATAGACGATCAGCAAACGGATCCTGAATGCAGTAAGGATTCATTTTATCGATTTCTTCCCCTTCCAATTTCTATTTAATAATGCAGTTATACAATACTTTTCTGCAGTCATAATACATTTATCACAACCACATTCTGCCACCAAAAGCTGACTTCAGCTATAAATATGCTCAATCGATCTCTCTGTAGGTGTAGATAGTCGTATGAATGATCTAAACAAGGGGGAGGGAGGGACATTGGATGAGAACTTGGAGGAGAACCAGCAGGGGGACAAGCAGCTGGAAGCCGAGAAGGCTCAAGTCATGGAGGAGGCCATGGAGGAGCTGAGGAAGGAACGCCATTCCCAGGATCAGATCCTCAACATGGCCAAGAGGATGGCGCAGCTGAAGGGGCGGGACCCAGACAAAGGTACGCCGCGCGCAAACGTCTTGGGTGTACCAATTCTCCTATGCTATTGGTCCTTACCTTCAGATTAGAACGTCAAGAGCAGCAGCTGTAAACATTGTGGGGATGACAGAAGGGTGGATGTCCTTATTGTTTGTTTTCTTTCATGTCCCCTGTAGTTACTATGGAGGACTTTCAGCAGCCTGACAGTGAAGAGGAGACGGAAGAGGAGGCTGTTAAGAGAGTGTTGAAACAGGTCAGGGACTTGTATCAGGTCATATCACCGATCGGGATGTTTTGTCCTGAAGGGGCTGCTGTTTTGCCATTTTGATCATTTGTAATGAGAATTGGAGAATAGGTTTTGAAATTGCTTTTATTTTGGTTGCAGCTCTCTGAAGAGGCTGCATTGGATGAGGCGAGTGGATACAACATACCTTTAGAACCCAGTGGACCAAAGAACACAGAAATGAAGAAACAGTCAAAGACACAGGTACATTCAAATCCACAACACTTTCTAGTTATAAGAGGGAATGACATTTAATCCCATGTTGAACCGATGTGTCTTTTTAAGTCCCAGGCTCCAGCGCCCAAGAGTAAGATTTCCACAGCTGCTGTTGCACATCAGCCATCAGACAGCGATGAGGAGGAGCTTCCGTGGTGTTGCATCTGTAACCATGATGCAACTATTCGCTGTCACACCTGTGATGAAGACCTATACTGCCACCGCTGCTTCAGGTAGTTTAACGGTCATTTATTATATAAAATGCATTACAAATTCAGTATTTAGTCAAACTTTTCACAGAGAAAATCGTTGCCCCGATGCCCGAGAAAGATGCCTAGGATTAGGAGTGCGTACCGTGACCCAGATAGATCCTTGCCAGGCTCTTGCCATACTGTTGAGCAGCATGGATATAAAGTATTTATTGTGGTGAATTATCAAGCTACTCCCCATTGTCTCCCCAGGGAAGGCCATGACAAATACGACAGGAAGGAGCATCGCACCACCAACTACACTGCGCCAAAGAAGAAGAGGAAGACTTGATAGTGAGAAGCGCTGTAGGCGTATCGTGCTCTGGTCATTTAACATCATTGTTAATAAAACAGTATCGTAGAAGATTTAAACACTACCTATTATTATCCAATAACAATCCAGGAGGCCTCATTCTAACCTCCACAAATGTAACCGCATAGACTCCAGGAAAAGCAGCATCTTCTTTCTGTAATTGTTAAGAGGGATCTAAAAACAATGGGCAATGTTTATGGCTAAGCAACGCCTGGAAAATAGACATACGCTTTAATGTGACGCAGTAAGTTTAATGTGAAAAAACCAAGCCCCTATTTCTTCCTGTTATGGTATTTTAGCAAAACTGCTCAGCTGCTGCATACAAACATTTTTAAATTGTTGAACCGAATTGGACGCTTTTGTGTTTTCTATTATCACTTGTTTTACTTCCCAAAGGCAACAAAGGCTCACCATGGACCCACCCACGCACACACAGACCGCAGCCACATCACAAGCTCATCTGGTATAATGTACAATCCCAGACTTCTGTCAACTCTGGACTGATCAAGCACAGAGGAGTCAGTCTAACAGGATTACAGAGGGCTTTGTTCTCTCCTGGCAGCCGCTGCCGTCACTCGTGTAATCTGCGTTTGGCTGCAACTGCCACATGATTGTTCATCGTGTGCAATTCCAAGATTAAGGATACAAAGGTGTTACCGGGCCATCTCGACGAATATGACCTCACCAACGTGTCCCAGGCATGGTTAGGAGTGTTGTCTTACACCATAGATGGCTTCTGTGTCAGAGAAGCCAAGAGTGGACGTGGGGGGCGGCGAACAAAGCAAATTACTATAATGGAGGCCTCAGCCTCAGACCCTCTGCGTATGACAGGGAGAGGGCCGGAGAGCGGTTTCGTCAGCGTGCATTACTGTCAAGCAAACTGAGGGGAAATAATTACCTTCCTCTGGGGGCTTTACTCCATTAAGGTTTGCGTGGGGGCCGTTTCTGTGTTTTGCTTGTCTGGCCGCGCCGCACACGCACCGCAAACAGGAAATGGATGAGGATAATGGACGCTTACTTAATGGACGTTGCTGCTACTGATTCCACTGTGTTTACTCCTACATTTGACATGTCAACGTCTCCTTTGTTTGCATCCGTCTGCTGAAAGATTTACGCCGGATAATGGAAGCTTGTATTCCCGGGAAGGACACGCTGACGGCTATAGTTACGTCTTCCAGTCGCCTGGAGACAGTAGGACATATAACACTTCTTTAAAGGCAAATAAGGTTTAGCAATAAAGAGTAACTCTGTTAACAGTTTATTTGGTTCTCTAAATCAATGGGTGTAATGTACAAGTCAATATTTATTTGTACGTGTGGAGTGAATGATGCCTGATGGTACTTTGTGGGGGAACCAGATGCAACCTTCAAGTCATCAACAGCCCTCTCTTGAAAATGTTCCATTTTATTTTGACTCGAGACACTGTTATCGGAACAAAAATATTTATGTACATCAAATAGGCAACCGAAAATGTACAGCCTTACACAAAAAGGCAGTCCCTCGGAGTAATAGTACAACTTTTACCACATGTGCGTTAATGGGAGACAACATGTTATAGCAGCCGGGCAATTCAAGTGAAATAATTTTATAAGTCCATTCAAAAGCCGACTGCTCGGGAGTTAAGACCTATGCTGACCCGAGACGGGTGAGGGGGGGGGGGGGCAGAGGACAGGAGGAGTCCCACTCACATGGTACACTTGATGCATGGAGATGGAGAGATGGCCGGGTAAGAGGCTCCACATTGTCTCATGCCTTTGTCTGACCTGTAATCATTTCTTCAAAGAACCCGACATCTTGCGTAGACCTTTTATCCTGTAGAGCAGCCCGTTGATAAAGTCCTGAAGGGAAGTCGCAGCAGCAATTACACACTAGGCAGTGAACTGGTAATCAAGCGATACCTCTTTTATCAAACAGTTTACTGTCTTTATATGCTTGTGTCCGGTATTGCGTAAGTTTAATTGGTCTCACCTCTTTTGGCTTTCCGCATTCATGCAAAAGCTCCTAACAAAGAAAAGAAAAAAACAACAGATATATCCTCAGGGGCAACATTGAGCAATTGTTTTGCGAGTTCCAGCAAAGGTTCAAGTGCTTGTTAAGCTTTTACCCCACATTGCAAACACTTAGTATGTATGTCGAAACTCTTCAGCCTGACTGTTGGATTTCTGGGACTGTGATTGTTGTTTGAAGAATAAATGACTGAATATAGAAATAACTGTCGACGACGTGGGAAAAGTGGTTAAATATGTCTGTTTTTACGTCCGTTTGTTAATTCTCACCTGCAGACGGATTCTCTGTCCCTCGTCTGTCAGCTCCAGGAGCTCGTCTATGTCGATCTCCAGCTCTGGAATCTCTTCCTCCTTTAACAGCACAGAGACACAAATGTTCATTATCGTCACCATATTTCTCCCAACTTGTTTTTTCTGCATGCATACAAAAGCTACAACGTCAACCTCTGGCCGGGCTTTCACTAAGCAAGTGGTGAGACTAACCACTGAGCGTCAGCAGTAAGATGTGATGCAACACGGCAGGGATTTTCATTGAAGCGCAATCGATGCAGTCGATTAGTTGGCACCAGACTTCTACGGGAAGAGGGCCTCTCGAATTAACGTTGTCTGTATTGTTGTGGTAAGAATAAACACGTGTCTTCCGTAATTGTTTCTTATGAAAATGATGGGATTGATGATGGTGATCTGCAGAACAATAAACGCTGAAGTGCAGCGAGGCGTGAAGGCGAAAAGGGCTCTGGGGGGGGGGGGGGGGGGGGTCTACTGGCAACGCGACGCTGCTACATTTTATGGGTGGTTTACCCAGCTGGCATTTATCTCAGCCGTTGCTCAGAGATTATTTACAGTTTATTTGTTCCTCTCGCTGTGAGCTGAAATACCAATCGAAGGACACTACACACCTTAATATATACAATATTCATTTGAAATGTCACTAAATCCATACAAACTGATTGTTCTAAAATAGCCTTAACTAAACAACGGTCGCCATCAGCGCTCATGTAATTATTGGAGGGAAACAAAAAAAGCGCACAGAGCCGTCAGTTCTAAAAAGCAAATATAGCATTATATCACAAGCACCCACCCTCACCTTTTTAACTACATTTTCAGAGGGAAAGAACTGTGCTTCAATCCATAAAGATAAAAATACATAGAGTCAGCAGGTGCACACTCAATTTTGACAAGCGGGGCCTCTTTTTAAGAGGAATATTTTCCGGTTGGGTAGTTTTTCATGGTTGGTGAGGATGAGGCTCACACTGCTTTCTGGTTGAGGACAGAGCAAATCAATGTGGAAGTGCTGAGTGGCCGCATAGATGGGCCCGTCTTCAGCGTCCCCTGTGCCTTCTCTAATTGATACACGCTGCCAGTTTGGACCTGGTGTGATTCCGCTGATGTGTGCAACACGCAGGTCTGGATGCTTTTTGTAAAGGCTTGGTCCATGGCGGAGCTTCAAATGGACGCTCTGCAGGTCCTGACCGAACTCGACGCTAGAGCAGCTCACATAATAAGTAGTTATTTCAAATATTAGATGTGTAATGGAGAATATTCTTCTTACCTGTTTGACATGCAACTATCCATTTGGGGATAACTAATTTTGCTATAAAATATTTTAGTTATTCAAGTCCTTCTTTGCACTGAAGGGTTGGAAGGTTTCATCAGTATCTTGAGGTCAAAAACGTCTTTGGTTTGAAAATGAAATTTCAGTAATTAGGCTCGCATGATCATTTAAAAAAAATATATTTTTAAGAAATGTTTACTTGATTCAGGTTTGTTGTACATATGACCTTATTTCAAAGTATTGGTATTCATGGCCGTTGTAGAACAGTTTCTAAAGCATTTGCTGAGCAGATGACCCATAGTGATAGTGGTGACCCTTCTTCACTCTCCCACTTTTCCACTCAGCACATTTTAAATGATAATAAACATTAATGGGAGGACGTCCCAACATGCTCATGCTCCGCTAAGGCTAACCGGTCGGATGTAGCTTCATATTCAGCAGACAAATGTTCAGACTCTGAGGGATTTTCATCCAAAGAGCAAATAGCTGAATTTCTCTCAAGATGTAACTATTGCTTTAAAGGTTGTTTACAGTCCTATAATTTTCTACATGTGCATTACATGGAAGTGTTATGATATTCGCTCACCCATGGCTTTGGAAAATACTACAACAAAACATCTGGTTGGAGACCACGGATGTGTTCGTAATGATAATGTTGAGGAAACCGTGCCCAGGAAATCCAGCTGTTAGGCAAAGAGGCCTGTGCCTGTTTGGCTTATCGGACCCTTCCCTTTTCCTGGTGGAGGCACCAGCTGCACACAAACAAAATATCCGTTAACTTCACACCAATGCCACGAAAATCAACCTTTCCACGTTTAACTGAAAGGTGTTTGTCACACCTCTCTTTTTAGTTTATTTTCTCTCAAAAGGTGTGAAGTTTGCCAAGTAGGCGCCGACTGCAGGCAGAGACAGCGCTTGTATGAATTAGAGATGCATCTAAATAATTCAGGTAGTGACACAGCGGACTGACGGTAAAATGCTTCCACGCGGAAGACTCTGAGAAGCAAACGAGTGACCTTCCCCTGAGCAAATGCAAAATGCATGGCACTAGGCAGTGCACGTGGGTGAGCCACAACTGATCCATACAAGTGGCTTATGCAAAGGGTCAGTTAAGCTCAGTAGGAGGTAAAACACTCATGTTCAGAGAGAGAGAAGATGCAGACTTTAATTGGTAAAGTCGTACATGAGAGGAACGTCTCTTAAGTCAAATTCAACCATGATTAAATCAAAGGCTATTGTATCTTTCATCATCTTATCGGCCGTGCTGGGATCCAATAGTTCAGGTGAATGGGGCTCATCCGCCATCTGTGCTGTGCAATTATCTCTCTTATTGGATTATGTTGGAACCAGAACACGAAAGGCCAATTACTGCAAATGTGCCCGTTTCTGGGACAACATCAAAGGAGCACAAAGAAAGACTTCAGAACTCTTTTCTCATGTCCTGGTTTCCACTAACGACATTATTCCATGCTCTGCTTTACCAGCATATTAGCATGTTTTTACCCTGGGGCACAAGTGTAAATGGAATAAAGCTTAAGGGGTACGTTTTGTGGTGAGACATATTTTTGCACAGTATGAAATGTGTATGTATTCAATATTAAAATGTCTTGAAATATGCCCATGCAGACAGTCCTTCATAACCTACTGGTCCTGAAAAAGAGACGCGGATGCGGCATTTGTAAATACCAAAGGAAAGGGTGTCTCTGGCAGCGTAAGGGGACGCAAGGGAGACGTGGCTACAGGTCGTCTGCACCCAGGGGGTCTCTGTGTGTTCTTCAACAATGAAACCTGAAACAGTTTGTCTCTTGTCGCCTCAGCGATGAAACGGAAGCGGCGTTGTCATCACAACTGAATCGTCGCGAGGAGGCTCGGGCTCCTTAACAGACACCACTTACTCCACGGTGCCGCGCTGCCTCATGTGGGCGATGAGACATCTGTTGCCATGGTTTCCCCTCGGAGGATGCCCACCAAATCAATACGGAGCCTCTGACATAATTGGATTGCATCCCACCGTACATGAGCAGTTATGATGGTTGTATTGCTGTGTTTGTTCTCTGTCGCGCAGGAGGGAGAGAGAGAGAGGGGAAGCTGCCTCTACGTGATCCCCTGCAGATATTAAACCCCATCTATGCAAAAAGGCCATTAATTAGACAAACTACTGAAATAATACGGACACATTTCCACATTAAATCTGCTGCTTTTACATAACGCTTGTGTAAATACAACCTACATATCTAATCACTGTCATCATTGATATCATCATGTATATGTGGCTTCTTTTCTGCAAATGAAAACGTGTTAAGAAACAACACAAACAGACCGTAAAAAGAAGACATAAAGGTAAAAACTGTGGAGTGGATTTCAAAATAAAAATACCCATGGCCATAATTTTTGATGCTTTCTCCGGCATTTAATTATTACTTACTGGGCTACTGTTACTTTTGCTCTTTTACACCTCATTATTATTTCCTCCTCTGAGGTCAGTGATCATTGAATCTATTCACCTTCATAAAAACAACTTCTGAACATCTACATCACTTATAGCCATATGGCACCCACCTTTTAAGGGACATAGGTCAATGCCACGGTTACAAACCGCTTAAAAATGCTTCCGGATGACATCATCATTATTATTACATATTGGAATATGGCACCTACTTAATGACACATTAGGACTTAGTGCCACAAATTGCAGCTATGAAGCAAAGCTGCTTGCCTTCCAGTCTTCAGGGTTAGGGACAGATCCCCCCCCCCTTCCCCCTCTTTAAGGTACAGATCAGTATCACCCTTGCTCCTTCCCCTCGCCTCATCCTCAGGGCACCCTGGCCCCCGGGTGCGTGCCCACGCAGACCCGGCCCTGCCCTACCTCGCAGTCGAACAGCAGGTGCAGCTGCCCGTCGATCCACTCCTCGATGTCCAGCCTCCTCTGCAGGTCCTTGCGGTTGTATTTGACGGTCAGCTTGCCCAGCTTGCGGTGCGCCGGCTCCTCTGTTTTGTCCGCCGACTGGAACATCACCCTGGACTGGGCGCTGGGCTCCGACGCCATGGCTGTGCACGGCCTCCGGGGGAACCGTTTGAAACGCTGTGAGCTCACACACACACACGCACGCACACACACAGACACACACACACACACACACACACACACAGATACAGACCCACGCGTTTGCTTTGCACACCCTGCTGTGTCCGGCGTGCTGCTGTTCCCACGCGTATCTCCTATTCTCTGGTTGAGTGTCTGCGCTCTGTAACGCCGACTCTCTCCCTCTCTGAAGCTCACTGCTGCCCTGCTCTCCTCCCCTCCTCCTCCTCTAGCAACACCCACTGGCTGCACTATCATGAAGATGGTAATGAGATACGCCTCTGTGTGCATGTGTGTGTGTGTGTGTGTGAGGCTGTTCAGTATTTGCGCGTGTGCACATGCACTCTATAAGGTGTGTTTGCTTTTGGCTCTCTTTCTCCGTGTTATATCAGATGAGAGAGCACAGTTCAATTGCAGCAATAAAAAATAAAAAAAACTGGAGAAGGTGTGAAAGGGCATCTGCAACACGTCAGGAGTTGGGCTATAAGTTTTACTGAATATAAAATATATCACAAACTATAGCAATTAGGGTGCTCTTTTGTCTGCAGTCATACGATTTGTAGATGTGCTTATCATCAGAAACATTTACCAACACACACACGTTTCCTAATATTCACTCAGTAAGAAGAACCAAAGTATTTTTTCTCCCCACAAAGTCAAAAAGGTCTGGTTTCTGGCTCCGGTACCTGCAAACAGCTGGGTCCCTGTGACCGGTGAGCCAGGAGCCCTGTGGTGTGAGAGCTGCCTCGGCCTTCATAGCGGGCATTAGGCAGGTGCACGTTTAATAAGCCTTGAAGTCAAACTGACGGCCTCGGTTACACACAAATGAATGATGGATGAGCAGGGAAGCACTATTTATGGCCGAAGGGAAATGTGAAATGTGAATTGTGAATCAGCAACGCCACATAAAACCCACCGTCAAAACTTCACAGTTTCTACCAGTCGAGACCACGGCGACAACGAGTTTCCACGGGTCCTATTGCCGTATGAATAATGGGGCTCAGTTTTTTTGTTTTTGGCAGGGACCATCAGTCAGCCGTAGCTGCTGCATGTGCACCCACTGATGCACCGTCTGTTACAAACACTGAATTATTGAGAGCCTCTCGCGGCTCCACTTTCCAGACAAACAAATTCATTCATCACGTCTCATGCTCCTCGCACTCGGCCAGGCGGAGCATTCGATGGAACGCGTGGGCCGTTAATGAGCTTGACCTTTTCTGTTTTATCCTCCCCTCCCGATCCATGGAGATGTGAGGAAACTGCAGACTTTATGGATACTACTAAGTATTATTTTAATTTATTTTTAAAACAATGGGTGTGCTGAATATGCCTCTTCAGCCAAACAGTTCAGCTGGATTTCATAACATTTTCTGCTTCCTGTAGACTTAATTGTCGACTGACTCATCACATGAGAATTGGATGACTCAGTGCATGAATCATAAATACTCGCTCCATTGCGAAAAAGAATATTGTGCTCCGTGCTACTTAAAAACACAGGGGATTAAATGATTATTCTAAATGGGAGAAAAGGAAAATCGACAATATTTTGAGAAAAATCATTTAGAAGTTTCAGCTTCTGCGTCTGCGGACGTGATCATACTGCCACCTCCTGGAATAAAGGCCGAGGACCCACAAAGCCACAACACTCCCTCTTCATGTCTGAACACTGGATGTAAATGTTTTCATGAGCTCATATTACCACCAGAGGTTAGCTGAGCTCCTTCTTTCTCTTTAGTTTGTGTGGTTTAACGCTGTTGGCCACGTGATAAACAGATAACGTCTTCTGATACTGAAGTAAATAACACATTTATTTACACTTTATTTTGCCTTCGATTATTTGATTATATTGTATCTGGTAATTGTAGACTATGTTTTAGTAACCTAGTGGGTAAATACTCATATTGTCCTCTACTAGCTGTGACTGTTGTGTACCATTTGTAGTTTCAACTATTACTTATTCATTGGAGAACTCCAGGAGCCTCATTAACAACAGAAAAAGAGGTATTTGCTAATTGTAGAAGTTTGTAGATCACCTTCAATCCTCTCCCTAACAAGTGTACCAATTTTGCAGCACACTAATAAAAAGTTTGCAAACCAATGAGAAAATAAAACAATTTTTAACAGTTAAGATAACACTAAACAATGTAAGACTAGACATGTCCGCGTGTAAAGGGCCGTTTCCTCTGTCGCGGTATAAAACAATCCGGATATTTCAGTGGCGCTTTAGGCTCTTGTTTGAGCCGCTCAGGGAACAAGGGAGTGGCATCCGAGGAGTGGAATTTCACTTCCTGAATCACACAGGTGACGCACCTGTGTAATGTCGTCGGTCGCGGTGGCTTTTATTTCGACACCAAACAGTTTCAGAGTCGTTAAGGGTCGGATCGGCGCTTCCGCGGAATTTAGGTGAGTCGTTTTTGGACGCGTGGCAGAGCTCGAAGGGGAAACGTTGGAGAGGAGAAGCAACGCGCGGCCCGACCGACGCACATCAAAGGAAGGAAGAAGAAAAAAAAATAATTAAGAATAAAATCTCCTTTTTTCGGTTCGACAAGAAGTTCGTATTTTTATTCGCCACCGTCGAGAACCGCTGACCTCTGGATTTGTACCCGCGTGGGAGTCTTTACCCCGGGCCCTCGCGATGCGCTCCCTCCGCGGGGGACAACGCGGAGCGCGTGCGCTCCGGCCGCTGCTCGCGCCGCCGCCGCTGCTGCTGCTGCTGCTCCTGCTGCTGGAATCGACCCGCGCGCAGGACGCCGGGCAGACGTGTCTCGCGCGCTTCAAGAATGGCCGGGACGACTTCGTCCTCGACGCCGACGAGTCCGTGAATGACGGGGCCACGTTCATCTCGTCGCCGCCGTTGACCCGCCAGCGGGACTGCGTGGCGGCCTGCTGCAAGGACCCCGAGTGCAATGTGGCCTTCATGGAGCGCGGCGACGAGGAGGGCGCCGTCAAGTCCTGCTTCCTCTTCGACTGCGTCTACAACAAGAAGTACGCCTGCCGCTTCTTCCGCAAGACGGGATACATCAGTTCCATCCTCGACTCCGTTTACGAGAGTTACCTGGCAGTGGACGCGAGAAGTAAGTCAAGTAAAACTCTTAAAACTAGTGATTTGTTTTTTTAAATAATTAAAAAAAGAGTTGTGGTTTAGGCCTCTTGAGTTCGGGGTCGTACTAACAGTGGTATGTCCTACATACAAAGATGTGAGGTTGACCTATTTAGGGCTCAGATACAAAAAAAAAACAGCCTGGAGGCAGAAACCCCCAATGGGCCCGTTCACACACGTCAGCTCATTGTGGCCCCTGAACACCGATATTCAGTCCAGGTGTGACCGTCTCTGCTCACCTGTCACATGGTCTCTCTCCAGGAGCCGCTGACCGGCCCCCGATGGCCAACGGAGGCCCGGATCGCGTGGTCCAACCTCAGGACACTGTGAGGTTGAACGGCATGGCGAGCGCCGATGACAACAAGGAGTTAACTTTCCAGTGGAAAATGCTCACTAGTTACCCTTTTGCCGTCATTGAGGTGAGGAAACGCACCGTGATCTTAATAATCATCATCATCATCATCATCATCCTTTGTGGAGAAGCCGGTAAATGAAAGCTGTCCGTCTGTGGCGTCTAGAAAACCGGCTTTGACGACGAGATCGCCGTCTCCAATCTGACGTCTGGGGTGTACAAGTTCCAGCTAACGGTCACGGACTCCATCGGCCAGTCGGACACCACCAAAGTCACCGTGCTGGTCCTGACCCCCGAGCAGTCCGAACGTGAGTATCTGGGCCGAGCTTCAGCGCAACTCAACATGGTCATTTGTTGATTTTAGGACGTCGGTGTCTGTCGCGTTTACTTGGAAAGCATTTGAAACATTTTTATCTTGTGTGCCGAAACATGCATACCATTAGAGTGTGCAAGTCTTTGTTTAACATGAGAACCGGATGACATGGTTTTTTCTAGTTTCTCTGCAGATATGGGCTCATGTTTTGTTTTTTGGCAGAATAAATAGTTTAATTTCAGCAGTAAACACAAGTCGTGTGTCCACCGTATTCAATGTCTCCTGCATTGGATTTAATGTAAATACAAGGCTGAGAGGATGGTTCTCAGCATTTTTTAAATGGCTTCATAAACTCCCATAAACCTTCTTTAAAGAAATTATTGGTATGGTAGTGTGTATATATATTTTCACACAATCAAATTTTAAAATTGTAGTGTTGAGAACAGGTTGTGACTGAGTATTTTTTTTTTTTTTTTTTCCCAGCATTGTTTGGAAACCTGTCTCAACATGCGCAACTAGATTCTCTGGAACTGAATAACGAAACCGTGAAGATAGAAGCTAAAGGCTCATGTGATTTAGACGATTGGATTAGATTAGTCTCTTTTTAAAAAAAATTTTTTTTTAACAATTCTAAATTAATTAATTATATATGGAATTAAGTGGCGGCGAGGCTTTTTTGTGTAAAAGTAATGTCTTTCTTTGTTTCACGTGGATGCCTTCGCTTCCCTTTTTCAAACACAAGAAAAGCCGCAGCGAAGCTCTCTTGGCAAATTTAGTTTCTACTGCAAACTGAAGTGATCGGGGAAGTTGCACTGCTCCCCGTGTGCCGCCCCCCCCACCCCCCCCAACAGAACCGGTCTCTCTGGTTCCAGCTTGGGTTACACAAACAACACTTCACCCACCGCTGTTAATCCTTCTCTCCCAGATATCTCGTTCAAAAGCTCTTTAAACTCCGTGGCTGCATATTTACGGCTCGTTGATTTGAATGACTGAAGGACAAAAAAGCTCTTGACTACTCCAGCGGCTCGGTTATTGATTGACAGCCGGTGTCACGGAGAGCGTGAGCAATGTGCTACAGTATGCACGGGCCTACACGTCAATGCTGCGTCATTTACACCACAATGAGGGGGCTTGAAATGAGGGCCCCTGGATGCCAGGCGGACGTGGTGATGAAGCGATTGCTCGCAGTTGTGATTCTGCAGTTGGCATAAATGGCCGCAGTGTACGTGAGAAGTCTGGTTTCACTTAGGACGTGAATCATTGACCACACGCAGGCAACCATCGCCGCCTCTAACCTCAAAGCAACTCATCCAGAGAGTAGTTCTGTCTGTCGGCTCACGAGACGACGACAAAAGAAGGAAGTGGTGCCTGCTGCAGTGTCACTTCACTTCTCATGAATTAATCTCATACATTGAATCTGCATTTTCCACGCAGTACCCAGGAGAACATTCATACCTGTATTTTGAGCTAAATCGTGCACGTGACATCACGGGGGGAAAAAAAAATCAAACTTCTCCCACATGTGAACTTTGCACTTACCCGAGTGCCTATTAACTGTGAACCAAACCCCACCGTGTTTTATTCTGTGTGCTACCAGACCACTGCATGGTTCCGCCAAAGGTCGGGCCGTGTCGTGGCTCCTTCCCTCGCTGGCATTACAACGCCGCCTCGGAGAAGTGTGAGGAGTTCACGTTCGGGGGCTGCCGACCGAATCTCAACAACTATCTCTCTAAGGAGGAGTGCTCCAAAGCCTGCAGCAGCTCAGGTATCTGTGACAGGAGCTTTTGTACTTTAATTATCTCTGAGACATCAACATTAAATGAACGGCAGTCGAAGAAATCAAGTCATTGACTGTTATCCATTTTCAACAAACGATTGAACTGTAATTGATTTTTGTTACTTTTCAGAAAAATCTGGTAAAGGTGGAAGACTTTTGCCCATTCCTGAGACTCCAGGTAGGAGGACGCTGCGGCGCATTTTTACCGTCCCACACAATTCAAATGTTGACGTTTGTGAGGATTGTGACAATGCCCCTCGGTCCTTGTGCCACGACCAGAAAAATGCGGCGTCGAGTGTGCAGACGGGGAGTTCACCTGCGCAAACGGCTGCTGCCTGGCTCCGGGCCTGGAGTGCGACTTGATTTCGCAGTGTAGCGACGGCTCGGATGAGCAGACGTGCAATGACTGTGAGCGCCGACTATCCCAACTAGGATTCACTTTCATACAGGCCGATGCAAATGCAGCAATGATAAAAAAAGAAATAAAAAAAAAACGCTCAACTAGACTAACTTGGATTATGTCATGTGTCCTTATTAGTGGAGAACAATTTTCGGATTCTGCTGCAGATTCCAGTGGATGAACAAAAAGGTCCTTTTTTTTTTGTTTTGTTTTTATTTTATTTTTTTTGTTCTGTTTTGCTTTTCAAACCTCTTGTCTGTCAGGCTTTTTGTCACCTGGGATTTGTTGTTTTTGCCATTTCTTTCTCAACTGCCTAAAATTTCACCTGGACTGCCCTTTTTCCCCCCCCCCCCCCCGTTAGTGCGCTGCACCGAGCTTCCAGACACCGGCACCTGCAGGGACAGTTTGACCAAGTGGTACTACGACCCCCTCCAGGAGCACTGCCTCCCCTTCAACTACGGTGGCTGCCAAGGAAATAACAACCGATTTGACACCGAGGAAGTCTGCGCTCGAATGTGCCGTGGGGTAACAGGTGGGTTTTTAAGGCTGCCGCGTCTGCGTTTCCTTGCGTCGCTCTGGAAACGGAGAAATATAAACTAGGCTTTACTCCCATTTTCGTCATTTTACAGATGTTTTCAAACTGGTGAATTAAACTGTCCAGTCATTTTGCATTGTGGTTTTCATGAGAAAGCAATACTTCTTTTAATGGCACATAATAATTCAAAAATCACACCCGCTTTGTCTTTATTGCAGGAAACGACGTATTTGCCAAACAAAAGACCACCCCAAACGGTCTGACTACTGGAAATACAGGTATGTTCTCCTTTCATTTGCTCATTCGAGACTAAAGCCGAAGCTCAAATAATACCTTCTTGTGATTATAAAACGCTGTACAGCTCCATGTATGGCCCGTTTTTCCTTTTTGTTTTTAACATGTAGTTTTCATTCATTGAGCAGGTGTCGTAGCTATAGCCGCCATCCTGGGTGTAGCCATCTTCGTCCTGCTCTGCATCGTGGTGTACTGCCTCATGAAGAGTAAGAAGAAGACCTCGCAGCGGCGCCACGACCCCGTCAACACCGTCCCGGTCACGTTGGAGGACAGGGAGCGCCTGGTCTACAACAGCACCACCAAGCCCATCTGAGCTCGTCTCCGCCTCCAGTTGCTGGAGACTTAGTCTCCTCCTCGTCGTCGTCTTCTTACGCTGAGCAAACCAGGTCCTCGCGTTTTTTTTTTTTTTATTGTGTCCATGTACGGATGTACGTACATAGAAGCCTCAACGTCTTCAGAGATGAAAATGTGATGTGTTCATATTTTAACTTTTATGTAGTGTTGAATTGTCAGTTTGTACTTTGGTTAACAGTGAAGGACGGCCGTTAATCGGCTTCGCCACTGGAGATCGTTGAATCAGGTTGAATTCCTAAATATTTTCTGCGTAATATTTGTTTCCTTTAACCAATCCGATGTTCTTAGTGAAGAGCTCTTTTTTTTAAAATAAAGTCATTTCAAAAGTTAGATCTTGAATTGTCATGGTCTGCCTGGGTCCGTTACTAGAAGTAAGCGTCTAGGTTCCTGTGGGCCCCGTGAGCGCTTTGGGAATGTTGTTTTAGGTTTAATGGAAATCCCTTTTACCAGCTTTTTCACTTTGACAAATCTATTTTTATTCTGTTTATAAAACCATGTTACATGAAATTACATGAAATGCAAAAGGTTGTACATAATCATAGGATTTTTAGGAAGTAATATTTTACTTGACGAAGGTATTTTGTTGATTATTCAGACATGTTTCTAAACGAGTACAATGCCTACATTAAACAAAGCTATTAATGCCTTTTAAAAGACGCCTCAATGCTTGTTTGTACAAATGAAATAATGTAGGTGTCTGTAACTTTAGCAGTATCGGATTGTTTCGTCTAAATAAATATATCAAATCAAAATGCCCTTTTCTCTGACTTTTTACCTTGAGACAACTGCTATCAAAGTTCTTCAATCTTAGTCACTATTTCTAAATTCACATTAAGGAATGCAGCTTTATTTGTTATTTATACATGTATTGAATGTTGTACTAAGAATGAAAGTGACTTAAGTTCTTTTTGATCTTGCATTTTGACGATATGCAATATAACATGTTTTCCACAATATGGAATATAATATACCTCTTGGTGTTACATTTTATCTAATTAGAATTCAAATTAATGTTTTGACAGCGCTGCTATCCAGTACAGCAATACGTACTAGTTAAATGGAATTCCTTCCCCATCCTTTCTAGGTATATAATATAAAATAACTTAAATGAGTAATAATAAATTAATACATGTATAAATAAATACTGAATAAATAAATGCTTAGATGCTTGTATAAATGAATGCGGAAATAAATACAGAAATATTTAAATGCTGAAATACTTACTGAAATAAATAAACGTTTATTAATAAATGCTGAAATGTTGAAATAAATACGGAAATAAATGAATCAATGTATCCATAAATAAACAAACGTTGAGAATCACACAGGTTATAAACAAATACAGAACATTTATTTCTAATGTTTTGTCCTCCATGGTATAAGCCAAAGTTACTAACACATTAGAAAGAAGCATTGCTTTTCACTACCAACAGGTGGCGACATTAGTTCATAAAACTCCAGATTGTTAAATCAGTTTACTATGGGTCACCCAAACACTATTTAACAAATACAGCCATGTCTTAATTACAACCTTTGTTACAGTGAAGCTTTAAGGAAACACAGCTGCACATTTTAGACTTGAAACAAGTTAAATTCACAAATCTGTAGCTTTACTCATGACAATCAGCTGCATCTTCACATTGTGTTGACTTTCGGTGAAGTCGTCCAGCATATTTAGGCTATATAGACTTTCTTCGCAGCCTATTTGGGTGCAAAGAGGGGGTTGCGTAAAGCAAACGCGCCCCTTTCTATTTAATCACACACACATAAATTATCATCCACCCAATATATTCACAGAAGTCATCCTTTGTGAGTCCTCCAGTCTACTGACCTGACCATAATAAATGTAATTGGCGGAAGTAAAATGTGTTTTGCTCTTTCACAAACCTGGATTGGACACATATTATTTTTAGAATTTAAAAGGAAAACGTGCAGTTTGTTTAAACCATTAAAACAATTATCCAATACCGGACGAAATAATGGAACTATGCGGGCCAGATGTTAACATGTGGTAATTTCTCTGACGCTCAACAAACAGAAACTGGCCTGTCAGAAATGGGCGAGCCTTTGTTACATTCAAGTACTCCTCAAAAATTATAAAGTCTTTTTTGAGCGTTCTCAAAAAAAATAACTAACTACACATCGAAGACTGTGTCATATACGACGTCGTTACGTACACTTTTTATTACTTTTTAGCGACAACTGAACTACAACAACTAAATGCAACCTATTGTAATGTATTCTAATGTATTGCAATGTCGCCGACTGTCCCTGAACGCAGCATTGGTTCTGCATCGGCGCTGTTTTTTGGACGCAGTAGAAGCGGATGACCTGCGCTGGGACGTGTGTGTCTGCGCGGATTTTAACATGTGAGAAAACAACAACAGAGTCGAGCAACTTGAAGATCCACACCGAGGAATTGCAGAGAGAAAAAAAGTTTTTCACTGAGGACTAAAGTCGTCGGGGGGGGAAAGAAGTCGGCGAAGTCGGTACGTGAACTGCTTTGCAAAACTTTACCAAATCTTAACCCAGCGTTAGCTATGACGCCGGGGAAGGTACACGTGACACCAGTTCACCTTCTTTGATTATTATGGGAATTATGATGTTGTGTTTACAGGTTCAACAAACAGAAAAACAAAAAAAACACACCGGACAGTTTCGGCGCGTGTGAGATCCGTCGTTAGAAAAAGGGGCTTCAGTTGAGCAGCTTCATCACTTCAGCCAAACAAAACTCATTAAACTAACTTACTGAACATCTGTTTCCGTGTAATTTAGCCACGAGACCGTTATGAAAAGGGATGCTGTTTGCCGGAGGTCCTGCACACTTTGTGTACTACGTGCACTTTTCTGTAATTTCCCAGCAGGACACACTGTAAGGAGCTGCAGTCAGATAAGTACTGTTTGTCTTTGAAACGGGACGCTGCCAGTTGGGTGAACTTTGATCAGCTGCTGGTGACTGTTTTTTCTTTTTTTATGTTTTTCCAAAAGAGGTTTGAATTATTTTCCACTGAAGCATTGATGTCAGATTTAACTCGTGAGACAAAATAACCTCCACGCCGCCGTTGAATCATTTGTCATTTCCTCCTTCTCTGCATCCCGTTCCCTCCTTCCTACGGTGCCCCGGCCATCCTAATTGTTTCTTCTAATGAGCACCCCATTGAGACACAGTCGGGTTATTAAATGCGGGCTTTTCATAGCTCAATGACTTTCCCCACCCGCTGTGGAAGAAGAATGGGGCAAAAATCAATCAGTTACCACTGAAAAGTTCCGCTTTCTTCTCCTTCCCGACCTCACTTGACCTTTCAAACAATAGCGTCTCAGCGTATTTGGAGATAAATGTTGCCTCAATGAGACGAACAGCGCTCTCTTCCAGGTGGTCCAGACAGGAAACTGCCCAAGTGTGTTTTGGATGTCAGAGTTGGCACTTTCCTCCCTTTTCCCTTTTCCCTGGTCTTGGTATGCTGAAGCTGCGTAAAATCCCCAGAGCTGCAGAATGCAGGCCCGGGTTCGGCTCTGCAGGCCGTGTAACGGTTAAAAACCTGCTTTTAAGCTTCTTTGTCATTTAGCGGCTGAGAGATAAGGATGCTGCTGCTGAGAGAAGATCTAAATCTCACGCGGCCATAAATTCTCAGCGTTTACGCCGTAGAGCTAAGATTACACCGTGAGAGTTAAAACGAGGCCTGACAACTCTCGTGCCTGTTTGAAAGCGCGTGCTTTAACATTCCACACGCTGGAGTGAGGCCAGACGCAGGGCCTTTGTTATTGCGAACTCGCCGAGCGTCACGGCGGCACAAGGGTGTCCTTGGCCCGCAGATGTGGTGTAATGCACCTTTAAATGGGTACGCTCCAATTCTATTCGAAGGCCTGCCGTCTTATTTTACCCCGGCAGTCCTCCGCTCTCCCCCTCCAAACGCCGCGGGACGTCATGGCGGACTGCTCGCCCTCGGGTCGTCTGCCTTTCACTTTTACAAAGCGCTGGAAGCCTCCGCTGGTCATCTGCAGCTTGAGATGGCACTGCCCGCTTGTATTTGCCAGGTATGCCGTTCCGTGTGGCTAAGGCTCGTTGACTGGGAGGTGAAAATGTCTTTTTTTTCAGTGCAGCAGGGAATGATTATTCTCCCATTAAGGGGCTATTCTGGCCCGGTGGTTCTCGTCTTAGGTGCCCTCGTGGGGTCGTTTCGGGATGGATCCCTCGTCGCCTAAGCGGCGCGCTCAAAAGAGGCCGCGCACTAAAATCAGAGGCTCGTATGTCGTGTGTCTGGGGGAAGTCACCCGTTAGGGCCGCTCTTTTGTGGAAGCTGTGTGATTTGATGGAGGTGAAGAGCGACCGCGAGGGTTCATTGTTGTCCCCAGTGAATGAAAAGCTGTTGGCTCTCTTCACGCCTGTGTGTCCGGGGACAAACTGCATGAGAAATGTGGGAAAGAGGGCAACGACAGACACGCTGTTTGTCGGGGGGGGGGGGGGGGGGGGGGTAAGTATCTCTTCCCGGGCTGGAGGGGGAGAACACAGTCCCTTAAAAAAAGAATAAAACACAGACCCAGACAATTAAGGTCGCACTTATACACTAAACCTGCAGGACCCTGAAGCGTCTTCCTCAAGGGGTCGAGTTTAAGTCGTTCTCAGCGTAAACATCCGTCCTGAGTGACGGCGTCACCACTGCGTCTGTCTGGCTGATGACATCCCAGGAGAGGGGGGGGGGCTTGTGCTCCCAGATTGCCGTGAGCCTGGGATGTGCAGGCGGTGAATGCAACGTGATCCGGTTGGTCTCCGACTGTGAGAGCCGAGCGCGCAGCCGGAATTCTCCGGGCTATTTTTGGCTTCTCCTCCCCATCAACTTGCTCCGCATGAGGAGAGTTTCAGTGTGAGCCGTCAACCGTTGCACAGAGGGGGCAAGATCCGCTCCCGCTTTTTTTTGCATTCCGACGCTGGGCCAAAGCGTCGGGTTTGCCTCTGATGAAGTGGCCGGTGATGTCACATCCTCACTGACTCGTCGTCCGTGGCCCCTTTATTCCTTCCTGAGGAGACAGAGAAAGTGGCTGATGTCTGAGCCGATCTCGTTTCTTCTTTGCTTCGGCGGTTTCACTTCTCGCTTAACCATGACAGGCCGCCAACGGGGAAAAAGGCTCCAGATAGTCATCACCCACCCCTACCGCCCCCCCAAGGACTGTTTTCCTTGAACGTGTTAGACCTGAGGTCTTAGTTCAAGGTACGTTTGTCCGTGCGCGTTATCTAAGCTTGAGGCTTTTGACGCGTTTGTGTAGGTGAATCGGTGCACATTGTCTCCTGTGTTGTATCTTGATGAGCATCTGACGACGTTAATGATCCGTTTGCTGTGTTTTAAAGGAAGGAATTTTAAGGTTTGACTGCCTGGATCAATTTGAAGCCTGGCACTTAGAGGAACAATTACGTTTGCCCGCCCATCCGAAGAAGGGATCCTTTGCAAGTCTTTCTTTTAATAACCCTCAGAGTGGCTCTCAGCATCTGTCTCCACTTAAGGGGCAAGTCGCAGATTCCCATGCGGGCGGGTTATGCCGCGGGTATCGCGGTCATCAGCTGTGGGAACCACGTTCTCTCCTTTTGAGTGAGATGCCTGCTTTTTCAAGGACAGGTGGTCAGCTGTTTTCTTTAGGATTTTAAATGTTCTGGTCCCCCTCCCTAGAAAAACAGGGATTTGGAATTGCCATATGTCAGCAAACGGGAGGTGAACGTCAGTGAGTTACGATTGTTGAGTTTTGTCCAGATGTGTCAGGATCGAACCGTCCTTTTCACTCGCCAACGGCCCAGACGCGTACAGCATGTCTAGGTCTTGAGCCCATTACAGGCTTGCCTCTCGTTGACCAGAGACGGATTAGTTTTGGTCTGCTCATAAAGCAGGGAGGGGGCTCAGAGGTCACGGTAGTTGGGATTAACAAGGGATTTCTACGGGTTCGCTGTTCACTGAAAAAAAAAAAAAATAGTTCTGAGCCCGACCCTCGAAATGAATACTTACACAAACCGGCTCGCCACTTGAAGATCAATTGGTCAGCGGCTGTTTGAGGAGGCTTCACCCTTGAAGAATGTAGTCTTGGCAGTGCTGCGTTGACTGAGCACGGATCTGTGTTGCACCATTTTTTTCGCTTCCCTCTTTCGCACTCAAAGTGGCTACGAAATGATCGACCTCAGGTCACATCCACGTTGAAGGCAAAGCAGATGGAAATGCAGGGCTGCTCGGTCCATTTTGTCACCATGTGTGAATGCCACGGAGTCCAAAGAGGAACCTGCATTCACTGTGTTGGGTTTATTTGGTTTCTCTGCTGTCAGATGAACACAATAGGCATTTTGTTTCTGTGGCTGCTGGCTTCTTGCCCTGTAAACAAGCTCTCCAGCGCGCAGCTGCAGGAAGCACGCAGTGAAGCAGCGGTCTTAACGTGCCGATCGAGCGCCGCCACTTTCCTCCTTGCATTCCTGCACATCTTAATTGGCGAACCTCCCGGCAGCGGCCTCGGATCGCCCCGGCCCCGTCGGCCTCGGCGCAGTGGCCAGCGAACTCGCCAGGAACACTGCCCGCCCTAATCCCCCCGAAGAGCTCCCGCCTTCCTCTGATCGAGCCGGCCCGAAGAATGTGATGTTTAAAAGGCCGCAGGCTCACTAGGAATCGCAGGGAGAGAAGTTCTCAGGCGCGGAAGTCCATGTCGATTTGTTGTGAGGAGTTTGAGAGGCAGGGATTAAACCGGGTGAACCTGTGATGACACCGGAGCGAACGCTTGTGAAACAAATGTAAGCCGGGTTTTTAATAAAATGTTAAAAGCTGTCATCAACTGCATACATTGATCAAAAACAATAAAAAATAACACTTACATTATTTTCTGTTAATCATCTGCTTTTGGTGTTGGATTTGACCGCGGTAGCATGGCTCACTCGGGTAAAATAAAGGTTTTCCTCAATGGAAACCCACCAAAATGAAACACTTTGCCACGTGATGCGCGCCGTAAGCCCCGGACGCGAAGCGCCTGAATCCTGTTTGACCCTTCGTCTTTTGTTCCATCAGCTCCAGAGGCCCCAGTGCCATGCCAGAGGGGTCCCACTCTGCTCTCCACCAGGACCCAATGGGGGAAGGTGAGATCAACGCAATTATAGCGAGGATGTCCCACGGCCCTGTAATTGCTGCCCATGAATCGACCGGTCTCATAACATCGCGGGGGGGGGGGGGGGGGGGGGGGTTTAAAAATCTTGGTTTTCCTTCCGGGATAACCGTCCCCCTGGGGGACACAAAAACACCACGGGAGGGGAATGGAAAAACGCTGGAAATGGAGGAACAGAGGAAATGGTCTCGAGTCTCGAGCTGAGTGAGCGGTGAACTCCCCCTTCCTACGGGCCGGACCGGCAGAGAGGCTCTTTGTTTCGGGCCGTGGAGCTCGGCCAGCCACTTTCGTACAGCCGAAACCCCCCCCACCACCCCCGAGCACTCGCACGTCAACCCCAAATCCCCCCGACGGCCGAGATGGCGGCGCTGACCCTGTGCGCCGGCGGAGCCACTCAAACGACATGTTATTTTAGTGTTCAGTATCTTCGGTCACAGGGCCGCTGCATTGACACAGGGCCTCTTTGTATTTTGTATCTGGTCGCCCCCCACGCGCCCCCCCCAACGCCTCGGCTCTCCGCCACTGAACACATTTTGCTCCGGGCTTCCACTTTGGCCAAAGGATACCAGTGTGTCAGCGGTGTCTTCTCAGATCTCAGATATCCAGCGAGAAATCACCTGGGCGTGACAGAACTCCACCTGGCTGTCTCAACATTTTCAGACGGATTTTGTTTGAGTTGAAGTGTGACTGAGCCCCCCCCCCCCCCCCCCCCGCTGAGAAAATCTCTGGAATTCCAGATAATAAAAAAAAAAGAAGAACCCACCCTCGGCCAATGGAAGTTCTTTGAATTCTAGCGTTCTGTCCGCTGGGCCAAGGTTAACAGACAAAAGGTGCGCAGACGCCTCGAGCGTGACCTTTCCTCCTCTTAAAAAATAAAACAAATGACCCCCTCGCGTCAACGTAGTCGGATATGCTCGGAAGCAGCACAAACAAAAACAGCCTAACGCTCCCAGTCGGCCTGTACTGGAAAAAAAACAAAATACAGAGAGTTTGAGGATGCGGGATGGGGAGTGCTTCACTTCGCCGCTGAGGACAGACGGGACACTCTCTCTCTCACCAGGGGCTCCGGACATTAGGTCTAGAAATAAAAACGCCGAGTCGACACTTTAGCTTAAGCAGCGAAACAACAAATCATTGGTTTGGAAACCCATCCGCCTCTGAATTA